TTTTTTTGGATAAAATTCTTGTTAATTTTAGGACTATACCTAATATACATAATGTATATTAAACTTCGGTGTGATGGAAAAGAGTAAAATAGTAAAAGTCTGTTCATTAATTTCAAATTAGAACTAATTTAACTTTAATTTAAAATTAATGAATAGCAAATAAACAAAGTTTTTTATTGACGAAACACAAATTAATTTTTCAAGAAATGTTAAGGTTATAACTATTTATTTAAACACTTTTGTCTTTTTTTTATTATGTTAAAATGTAACTTGATGTAAATACATATGAAATGTAAAATATGTGAAATAAAACACCTCGGTAAGAGGACAAGAAGAAACAAAATAAGGATGAAATAACGAAAAAATACATTTTATTTTCTAAACTACGATAGAAGGTAGTCATATCGTAAAATCAGCTTTTATTTATATTAAGTCTATAAATCAGAGAAGCGGATTTGTGAAAGCTTTAAAAATGGACAGATGAAATGGAACAGTTAATTTAGTCAATATCTGAGTCTATGATTAAAACGAGTCTGATGTTAACAAAACCTTTGTATCATTTATTGTGTTTTAATATAATGAAGGCAACCTTTTATATTAAATGACGTATTAAATTTGGACTCGTCTCGTAAATATTAAATCCCTTCTTTGGTGGCTGTGCACAAATATCAAGTAAAGTCATTCGCCCTTTATAATTACTATCTGCGGTAAAAGCAAATGCAAAGATGCTAAAAGTGCCTCGATTTCGAAATTCATAGTCTAAAAAACAAAAGATATAGTGATTGTTTTCCTCTTAGCTTTGCTTTGCTATGCCAACAAGCATTATTTTTGCTTCAGTACCTGTACAGTTGCTTTTCATTTACTTTGCTTAATATTAAACATTATGGATTTAATCTGGGTTTCCGAGGAGGTTTGGGTTATGGTTGAAAATACTGAAAGCCCCCCCCCCCCCCCCTGCATATGGCCTGCCGTTGTAATTTCTCAAATCATTATCATTTTCTTTTATCCAAGATAATATAATGTATGTTATAAAAAAATTAACATCATATTTCGAAACATAATTATTAAGGATGGCCACTAACAAATCACACAAATCGTACAAATCGTAGAGTTTTCAACCTCTTTTTTTCATTCACGGCACATTTCCCAGAAAGTTTCGCGTAATCCCAATCCCAAAGTCATCACAGAATATAGTACTTGTACATCACTCTGACACACGTCAAGTGCAATGTACACACCTACCATGCCTATGTTCATATGTGTTTCTATTTTTGCGAGTGAGCGAAGCGAGCGAAGTGAGGAACCCCCCAAATATAATCTTAATAATGTTTCAAAATTATTTTGTAATCGACATACTAGATAAGATACAAAATAATATATGTGGGCACCCGCCGCCAAATATACATGCATTTAAGGAGATTCACCCCGTTTCTAACTTGTTGCGAGAGAGTGAAGCGATCAAGCGGTTAAAAAATGTAATTTTTATATGGAAAATTTAAACTATATTCTTGAACCTCACTGTAAAATAGAATGATAAATTCGGGCACCTCTTGATAAAAATATGGAGGTTTTCAGGCACTCCGCTGCCTGAAATTATCCCGCTTTTCTAAATAATGTAAGCGAGCGAGGTCAGCGAGGAAGAGATTCACTTTTCATCTGTAAAATGAGGCTCCTCATGAAATTACCAACTCTAGTGGTTTTTAATATTTGGTGTTTCAAATCGATAACGCTTTGATATTAACTTAATTTCTCTCGCGGCACCTTTATAGATGTCTTGCGTCACCTTAGTTGAAAAACGATGATTAAATACTTGACTGGAGATACGAGAGATCGTGAGCTCGAGTCGATCAATCCCTTAGCAAGACATTAATCTATATTTGCCATTTCCACCCAGCTGCTAAATGGGAGTTTCTTGATGGATGGGATCATAATCAGCTAAAGCCTGGGTAATAATTATTCGAGCGCCTAATTGAGTATCATGCGTGGTAGATAACCTTAAGTGTGCTTTGAAAATATCCAATACTATTCTTATAATACAGGAACTGCATACAAAAATGAGACAACTATATCAATATGCGTCCTATCTGACCCGGTAAGGTTACACATTTCGATATGATAAAGAAAATGTTTATACTGTGCGTTCAGAATATGTAATTTGATTACGGGCCCATATCTCGGGGTTCTTCAGTAAACCACAGAGCTATCTAGACCGCAGCGATGCAGGAACTTCCGTCTGTCTGTACGACAAACAAACCGCGTTCTGCAGGGTCATACAGAGTGTGCAATATTGTTTTGACTTATAGGAAAAGAAAAATATCCAGGGAAACCTAAGGAAGATATTGAACTAGACGGAGGCATTCATGATTATTCCTTTCAATGTTATCAGCAAGACAGCCGATTTTGTTTTTATTTTGTACTTTCAGTCAAGAATTCGAATGAGAAACATTATATTTGTATTAAAGGGATTCGGAGATACACTGAGCCTGCATGATTGGTTTTATGTAAATAATTCGACATGGTAAAACTCTTATCCCTTCGATCTCCGCCCCCCCCCCCCCGTATGTCGAAAGTGATTTCAATGTATCTCCCTACCCAATGGCGCGAATGTGTTTATACCTCCCCCCCCCCCCCCCCCGCGAGACTGAGTTTTTCGTTTAAAGCCCCTCTAAAGTGTTGGGAGCCCTGAAATTCGCCCAAAAGTTTGATGGCAAAATTTCACTTAAATTTAATCATAATACGAAAGAGCATGTCATTTAAGACACCCTTCTGCAAATATTTCCCCCACAAATGTATTTGAAGACAAAAAATTATAAAAGAATACATAATCTGTTGAACGCAGAAAACCTAAATGTTGTATTCTTTCATCAACATTCGACTTCAAACACATTTCTCTTGAAAACCCTTGCAGAAATTTGTCTTAAATGACATCCTCTTTCACATTAAAATAAGTGAACAAATTTTGGTAGGGGTAGCAGAAAATGATAATTTCATAATTTTTTTTCTAAGCATGATCCAATAATAAAAGTGTCCATTTTGTTAGAACTTTTGGAAATCTCTGCCACTCAAAACACGTAGTCAGTAAGCCTATTGCAAAAGTACATTGAGTTCAAGGAAAATTTATCTTATAATAATAATAATAATGATAATAATAAATTGTTTCTTTTAAAGCGTTATATCCAATTTAGAACTGATCAAAGCGCTTTACACAATAAATCAATGAATTTAAACTCAACAAAAATATGAGAGAAAACTTGATGCAGTTAACTAGTCTACAGTGTGTTTTGAGATGCTTCTGAAATAATTCGACTGACATACTACGGCGTAATTCACAAGGTAACCTATACTTCAAACTCTAAGAAAAAGGGAATAAAAAATCGAGCCACGCCCACTTGGTTCTTGGTTCTTGGTTGGTTGGTTGGTCCTCCAAAATATTCGTCTGGAGGTGCGGGTATATAGGGTGTATTAATTTGTAGAATAATGGAATGGTAATATTTTTCTTTCTCAGATCTTAATCAATTATTTTACAACGTAAAAGGGTAAACTTATAGTTTGATCAGGGAGAGTGTATCTCCCTGATTTGATCAAACAGCAACATTATTTTCAAGGGTGTCGATTTGTATCCGTGGTTGGGGGGATGATAGGTGCCAAAATATGTTCGGCAATGGATCAAAGCAACCAAGAGGTAGAAACGTGTGGCAGGTTGCACCCCATTCCCAAGCGCGTAGCCATGATTTCATTTGGGGGGGGGGGGGGAGGGGGGTAGTGAGCACGCAAAGCGCTCCCTAGGGGGTTGGGTGCAGGGAGAGAGGAGTTTCCCCATTCCCCCGCGAAGCGCAGAAACTTTGACGCTTCATTAAATTATTAGAGAAAGAAGACGATTCGTTGGAACGTTCTTGACTCTTAATCCTTGTTTGAATCAAATTCCCCTTCCTCCGCGCGTAGCGCGGAAGCTCTGACGTTTCATTAGCTTATAAAGGAAGAAGCCGATTCGATGTACCATTCTCGACTCTTAATCCTTGTCTGAATTTAGTTTCCCCACCCCTCCTGCGCGAAGCGCGGAAGCTTTGACGTTTCATTAAATTATTAGGGAAAGAAGACGATCCGTTGTACAGTTCTCGACTCTGAATTCTTGTCTGAATTCAGTTCCCTCCCCCCCCCCACTCCCGCTCGAAGAGGGTTAAGCTTTGACGTTTCAAATAATTATTACTCTTAATCCTTGTATGAATTCATTTTCGCCCATCTCGCGCGAAGCGCCGAAGCTTTCACGTTTCATTAAATTATTAGAGAAAGAAGACGATTCGTTGTATCGTGTCCTTGTCTGAATTCAGTTTCCCCACGCGGAAGCTTTGCATTTCAATAAATCATTACTCTTAAAGGCTTGTCTGAATTCATTTTCGCCCATCTCGCGCGAAGCGCGGAAGCTTTCGCGTTTCATTAAATTTTTAGAGAAAGAAGACGATTCGTTGTATCGTGTCCTTGTCTGAGTGCACCCCGCCCTCCCGCGCAAAGCGCGGAAGCTTTGACGGTTCAATAAATTAATTCTCCTAATCCTTGTCTATATTCATTTTCGCCCATCTCGCGCGAAGCGCTGAAGCTTTACCGTTTTATTAAATTATTAGAGAAGGAAGACGATTCGTTGTATCGTGTCTTTGTCTGAATTCAGCCCCCCCCCCATATACGGTTGTCTCATTTATTTCGTATATCTGTATGTATTATGAATATGAGATAGCAAAATGTGTATATTGATAGTCATCTTGCGAATAATAATCATGAACTACTTTCATCGGGCTCTCATTATTATTATTATTATTATTTTATTTTTTTTGATGGTGAATTATTGGGGGGGGGGATGATTGTACAGGCCACCCCCCTCCCCATCCCCCCCCCCCCCCCCCGATCGACACCCATGACTATTTTCATTTTGAGAGAATTTGATGAATGATTAATGTTGCCACGCCCATTTAAATCCTCACGAGTCGATATTCAGCTGTAAGTGTAACGGATATCGATAATAATACACGGAAACGCCAAGGGTGTCGGTAAAAACCCGGAATCGAGGCTGCGCCTAGAGGGGGTATTCATGTCATTTTCTTCTTCAGTAGTCATCTAATATAATATCTGATCAACCATGTGTGGCGGAGATATCAAGTACGTATCTAAGACTCTTTGATTTTACAGTTTAACTCGATGGTTTCGACCGAGATGTTAATATTCAGTCCCATACATTACTTTTTGTGTAACGTCTCCCAGACCCGGCCGTATATTCCATTCGAGTTTTGTGTGGATGGACCTTGTTGCAGATGTTAAAACATAAATTTGCGATGTGTAGCTGCATGCTAGCTGCAATATAAATCTAGTGATTCAAAATGTGTCTAACTAAGCTCTAAGGGTCCCTAGGCTTGCTTAATTGCCCTTTTTGGATTATTTTGACGGCGCTAGATCTACTGCATATCCATTTTTTTTTAGCAGTTTCATAGATCTATCCATTCTTAGCAAAGGAATTTTAGCCCAATTTTTTACTAATTTTAATCATAATCATATATTGCATTTTCCACCTGAATTTGGATCACATCCAACATCAGGAAGCCTCCGTTTAGGGCTTCGATGTCGACGTTGTCGCTCAGTACCGTGTCCGCGCTACAGCTTTGCAACTCAAACTGAAGCTATCAGTCTAAAATTATGCAAGCTTCTCGTATAGTTTATGGTATCGTGCATGTGCGTAATACCATAAAGCATACGCAAAGTTTGTATAATTTTAGAATAGACTGATAGCTTCAGTTTGAGGTGCAGAGCTATAGTGCGGACACGGTACTGAGCGACGACGTCAACATCGAAGCCCTAAATGGAGGCTTCCCGATGTCGGATGTGATCCAAATTCAGGTGGAAAATACAATATATGATTATGATTAAAATTAGTTAAAAATTGGGCTAAAATTCCTTTGCTAAGAATCGATATTAAACTGCTAAAAAAAACTGCTAAAAAAATGGATACGGAACTGCAGTAGCGCCATTTTGACTTGGTCTGGTCCGAGAATATTAGGATTAGGATTGTACGCATAAACGAGGATATCTTTGTAAACGAGGACAAATCGCGTCCTAAAAAAAAAAGGATCATCACTTTTTCTTTGGAGCTCTGCTTCCCAGTGTTGGCGATGCAAAAAACGGATTCCTCGTCATAAAATACCCCCACAATGCACAAGGGCCCATGTTCACCGTAGGGTCTAGACTATACTTTTATGAGTTGTCAATCTTCCTGAGGATTTATCGTTGATAACGTGAAAGTCTCTGTGCTGCATAAGTGCAACATGCATCATGGAGTATCATTGCAGAATCCGTTTTACGCATCACCAACGCGCAGATCGATAATAAGGATTGTCCGCGAAAATGCGGACAATCCTTATTTTTTACGATGCGATTTGTCCACATTTACGAAGATATCCTTGTTTAAACGGAAGATCCTTATTCTCGGACCAGCAACCCTACTGCTCTTACTCTTATAAGTTAGATTATCTCTGTCTATGACTATGATGAGTATGATATTATTTACAATAGACTAAGTCTATGACTGAGTATGATTAGCCTTAAGGGCTAGTTGGTTATTAGACAGAAATAACCATCTGGTATGGGTCATTCTTTAGTGAAACCGACATTTGTCAACCTTTCAGTTTAGGTGATACTGTACAATATAATATTGATATCACCTAGCCTAAGTTGGCATCCATACCCTCTGCATGAAGATGTACGAGGCAGTGTGTACCCTATACTGCCTCGGTCAAACCTTTGCATATTTGGCTGGCGTATTACTGTGTATTTATGGCCAGCCGTTTTAACATTTATTCCTATTTCTCGATATCAAAAATTACCATTGCTAACAACAGAAAATCATTTCTTGATATCGAGAAAAATAAACAAATGTTAAAACGGCTTGCCATAAATACGCAGCAATACGCCAGCAAAATACGCAAAGGTGTGACTGAGGCATTAGTGTAAGTCAAAAGCACTGTAGCCTACAATTTTCATATCAAGTTATCAACTATTTCCCTCTATAGACAAAACAATATCCGAGTCGACCCCTCTCAACCCCCCCCCCCCCTCCCCCCCCCCAAAAAAAGATTCATCTGATGCCTAATGGATGTAAAGAAATCTCAATTTTTTTCTTGAGCAGGTGGAAGAACAACCCAGCCAAACCAGGTGTACCCTACGTCCCAACCAACCTGGAACACTTGGCTAACACCATTACACATGGGGTAAGTCAAGTACATTATTTAAGTGTTGTGGTTTAGTGGATAAGGCGTTGGACTGTGGGTCACAGGGTCCCCGGTTCAAGTCCCGCCATGGCACTAGTGTCCTTTGGCAAGAAAATTAATCTACATTTTCCACTCTCCAACCAGGTGTTAAATGGTTACCGGTAGGAAGGAATTCTTTGAATGCTGTGAGCGCCAAAATTGGCTGCCTAGCAGAGCCGGGGTAATAGTTGGAGCGCCTTGAACAGCATGCATGGTGGATATAAATATCCAATATTATTTTTATTATACCAATGACCCACCTTTCGTTTTGTATCTTAGTAGTTCCGTGTCATAATACTTTATTCAAAATATGAGCTTAAACTATCACTTCTGTAAAGACATTTTGTAAGTTTAAATACACACTCAATGAACACGCAGTGCACAAAACGCAGGATTAATTTTACCCAAAATAAAAACCCAGATGGGGAAACAAAGTTTTTTATTTGATGGTGCGGCTTTCTGGAATACTTTACCTAATTTTTTTAAAAATGCGCCATCAAATTCTTCATTTACTCTTTTGTTTTGGCGCTATAATAATTTAAATCATTGAACTGGTCCATTGTGTTGTGTTTGTTTCTTTTCTTTTGTTCGAAAATGTTGTAACTTAATTCATTTTGTTTCGATTTGGATTATTTGTTTTCAATATGTTTGTTAATTTTGTATTTATGTTGTAGGGCCTCCATGGAAAACAGTATTGAACTACTGATGGAGCCACCCTACTAAAAAAAGACTAATAAATAAATAAATAAATAAATGAACATTAAATTGACTTGTGAGTAGACTACGATGCAGTGCATCTTTCGGATGGTGACGTTAAAGGTCGGTCCCCAGACGTAAATAATCATATCTGATTGGTACACGTCTGTAAAAAAAAAAAACCAATTACACACAATTACATTAACCAGGCTTGAGTCTAAAAAATGTGAAAATGTTAAAGTCAAAATCCAGCTGTATAAACTATTCTTAATATATTGGATACAATTTTATTTTGATTCATCTCTGATGCTGTGAACTCTTTGTCTCTCACTCTCTCTCTCTCTCTCCCTCTCTCTCTTTCTCTTCCTTTCTCTCATTCTCTTCCTCTCTCTCTCTCTTCCTCTCTCTTTTCTCTTCCTCATGGTCCTCCCTGCCTTCTCTCTCTCTCCCTCACTCCCTCTCTCTCTGTTACTGATTTGTAGTTCTGCATCATACCGTCCCTCTATGCCAGCCGTGATCTAGTCAAAGAAGCTATTACTTCTTCCCAAAAGACCAGTGCAACGGTCTTTGGTCTGGCGCTCCTCCTTCTCTTCAGTGTCTCCACCCTCTTCCACCTTGTCTCCTGGTCGGGTCTTGCAAAGTAAGTATTCACAGAATAGATAAGATCAAGGGTCACTCAAGACAGTATTCAGAAATACCATATTATAATAGGGGGGTGTTTCACAAAGATCCTCAGTCGAACTTAACTCTAAGTTGGACTTAAACATTATGGAGAGCCATTTGTAGCCTTATAATAGAATATATTCAAAAGCAAAAATTGAAGTATTTTAGACTTTTTATAAATTCCACATCAAGAACATGAAATCTCCTTGATGATCGAAAATATGAATTATTTGAATCCACGTTTTATGCCTTTTAAAAGAACTTTTACAAATATTTTCAGAGATGCTAACGGTTTTCCATAATTGTTGAGTCCAACTTAGAGATAAGTTCAACTTAGGATCTTTGTGAGACACCCCCCTGGAACAGATAAGGCCAAGAGACTCAAGACAGTATTCAGAGGTACCATATCATAGCAGGAGGGTGTTTCACAAAGATACTAAGTCGAACTTAACTCTAAGTTGGACTTATGGAGTTATGGAGAGCCATTTGTAGTCTTAAAATAAAATATATTCAAAAGCGAAAATTCAAGTATTTTAGACTTGTTATAAATTCCACATCAAGAACATGAAATATCCTTGATAATAGAAATGTGAATGATTTGAATCAACATTTTATGCCTTTTAAAAGAACATCGACAAAAGATTTCATAGATGCTTACGGCTTTCCATAATTGCTAAGTCCAACTTAACAACATCGATCCTTTGAAGAAAAAATGCAGACCACCGCATTCGTCCTCATGTGACAAATTCATATCTCATATCTTTTTTATTACATCACATTGGGTTGATGAGCCCTTTCAACAGAAGTTGATTTTCAAAGGGGTTCACATGACAATTTCATGATGTCACTTTTTTCCAGGCTTAGATAAGTAGCGTATTGTAACCACTTTGTCTTTTTATTCTTATTTTATAGAACCTTGAGGTTTTATCTTCACATAAGTGACAGAGCAATCATCTACTTATATATAGCAGCTTCATATACACCTTGGTGAGTAAGAATCAACAGGGTTTTTATTTGTTTTTTTTTGCAGAATCTATTTTTGTACATGGGATATTTGGTTTGTTTTATGTTTTGATTTTTCTTTGACAATACTTATGGAGCAAAATCATATAGTAATCTGTGCTTTTTCCTATCAATGTCGAAAGAGGATGTTGATATTTTTCTGAGAGTAAAACTACCTCTCATGACAAACACTATGAAGGAAAAGTGGAAAAGAACCCATCTTGAGGCAATTATAAGTTGATGAATTGGCAATTTTTTTTTAGAGTGTATTCTTAAAGGTATATTAACATAGTGTTCCGATATGTGGGAAATAGTTTCCAGTGCTGAAATTTCACACAAGATACAAATGGTATGAAACTGACTAACCAGGGGAGTGTTTCACATAGACTAAGATCGACTTTAAGTTGAACTTAACTATGGCAGGCCTTTCATGCCACTAGTTCCTCTAACCATTCCTGGCATCGGTTTCTCAAGGGACTTACAAATCATGGTTACAAATCTACAGAATTTACCTTTTTTGATAGTTCATTACTGAAGGAAAAAATATGATCTAAAGATCATAATTGAGAGACCAATGGTGAGAGCAACCAATGGCATGAACAGCCTGCCGTATTTAAGTCCAACTTAAAGTTGATCTTAGTCTTTGTGAAACACCCTCCAGGAAAAGGAGAGGATGAGTGATAAAAAGAAGGTCGAGAAAAGTAAAGAAGAACAAGAGATGGATAATTGTGAGGTTGGAGGAAGGAAAAGCTGATGAAGGAGGTAAGGTAAGATAAACATACCGGTTGTCTACAATTATACCGGTTGTCTACAATTTATTTTAGCGGCACCATCTTTTATGATTGATATAGACTTATTTATGTTTTACCATTTATTTATTATCTTATTCTCCTTTCTTTTATCTCTCCTTGTCAATGGTTGATGCTAACTGATGTTGGTTTCTATGGCAGCCATCTTATTTATGATTGATATAGACTTATTCATGTTTTACCATTTATTCATTATCTTATTCTCCTTTCTTCTACTACTCCTGGCCAAAGGTTGATGTTAACTGATGTTGGTTACTATGGCAGCCATCTTTATTTATGATAGATATAGACTTATTCATGTTTTACCATTCATTTATTATCTTATTCTCCTTTCTTTTATCTCTCCTTGTCAAAGGTTGATGTTAACTGATGTTGGTTACTATGGCGGCCATTTACGATGGATCATGTGGTTTCTAGCCGTCTTGGGAATCTTTTATTCATATTGCTTCTATGAGAAGTGAGTCGTTATCCTCTTTTTTAAAGCCCCACTGCACTACTTATAGCTACTTGCGCCCTCTATATAGCAAACACAGCCTAATTGGTGACCATTGGTCCCCAATGGTACCCTTTTTCTTATGTTAATTGAGAGCTGATTTGATGAGATAACCACCTGTCAGTGACCATGCAGGGAGGTATAATCCCTCCTGGCCAAACTAGTGTAGTGGGGCTTTAAATCATTTTCAGCATCTGTTTTACAATCTTTACCCTTTGTCTATGTGTCATTACAATTTTCTGCATTGAGCTATATATGGTTCTCTATATTTAAGTAATTGAGCAAATGTAAGAGGGCAGGTCCAAGCTATTTGGATTGTGACGTACGGGACATTTAGAGACTTTAAACAAGAAATAGCAACAGATGAAATTATTTATATGGCTATCTTTTGGTATGAGTCTGTGGCTATTATGGGCTAGTTCATTTGTGGAAAGTTTTAGTTCTGACCAATTTTGTAATTAATGTTAAATGTAATTAATGTGCTGCGTGACGTACGCGACGCTGTGGTTCCGTACGTCACTTTCTCTCTTACTAATGGGGTGTTGCAAGAAAGTTGGGTTGCAATCAATTGCAAGACTTGCGCTTGATTTGGGGGATTTGCAATTGATTGCAACTTTCTTGCAACGCCCCATATGCCTCCTTTGTGATAAACTAACATCAGTTCTCTTATTTCTCTAGATACAAGAGACTGGAAACCGTTTTCTATGTTATCCTTGGTACAGTTCCTGCATTGGTTGTTTTAGAATCAGTGAGTCTACATTCCATTACCACTCTTAACTCCAATATTTTTCTTGGCATACATTTATTAACATCATTTCCATTAGCTATGGGGTTTTAATTTTTCGAAAATGGCAACCTGGTGTTACTTTGATCCAATCATGGATTTATGAATCTGAAGGTAGTTATATCCCATATTGTTGCTTCACATATGTTGTTGTGGACGAGTGGATAAGTCACCGGACTGTGGATCACAAGGTTCGTGGTTCAAGTCCCGCCGCAGCACTAATGTCCTTTGGCAAGACATTGATCTACATTTGCCACTCTCCACCCAGGTGTTAAATGGGTACCCGGTAGGATGCGAAAGCTAATGTGGTTAGATTAGCAAGTGTGCGCATGTAAAAATGACGCCTGGCTGGAATACTCCCCAGGGAGTTGAGAATGTGCATACATTGTGTGCTGGTAAGCCTGAATCCAATGACCGGGGTAATAATATACTTATCTGTAAAGCGCTTTGTGAGGGCCTCCGGTCCTGAAAAGCGCTATATAAGAACGAGCTATTATTATTATTAATTCTTACTTTTCTTCTAATGAAAACAAAAATGATTAAAATGGTTTTTATTAATATATCACTGCAACAAAATTGTAAAACGTGTAACCGTGTTCAAAGGACAAAGAATAAACAAGTGCAAGATCTTTCAAAGTGTAATCGTTCTTTGCTAACATACCTTTATTAACACATATGGAAATTGAGATTGATATCCTTGTTTCCACTTGCATTCCATTGTTTTGTTTTGTTTCATATTCTTGTAAAGAAAAAAATATAAATCTCTACAAAAAGAATTATTTATTTGCCATATGCCCTCACAATGGGCAAAATGGTAGGAATACTCCCCTGAGAGTGGAAACGGTGCATGCCGTTTGTGTGAATACATCTGATGACCAGGGTAATAGTGATATCTCTAATGCACTTGCGGACGTTATTCCATATTAAACACGGCTATATAAATCCAGGTTTATAATTATTTTTTTGATTTCGTTTTAAACTCTAAATTTACAGCCCCCTAAGAATGGTATGTACGAGCTCGCTTTGGGAGGCATCCTCTACATCTCGGGCGTGGTGTTCTTCAAGAGCGATGGCATCATCCCCTGCGCCCACGCCATCTGGCATCTCTTTGTTGTGATGGGGGCCTACACGCACCTCAGCGCCATCCAGAGGTACCTGATCGGCTGCAGGGTGCCCGGTGTGGACCCTGAGCCCAGCCACCTACCCGACTGCATCACTGGAGGATCATTATGATGTCAAGTGTCAGCAGTGGGATAGTGGCAGGAGTGGGATAGTGGCAGGAGTGGGATAGTGGCAGGAGTGGGATGGTGGCAGGAGTGGGATAGTGGCAAGAGTGGGATAGTGGCAGGAGTGGGATAGTGGCAGGAGTGGGATAGTGGCAGGAGTGGGATAGTGGCAGGAGTGGGATAGTGGCAGGAGTGGGATAGTGGCAGGAGTGGGATAGTGGCAGGAGTGGGATAGTGGCAGGAGTGGGATAGTGGCAAGAGTGGGATAGTGGCAAGAGTGGGATAGTGGCAAGAGTGGGATAGTGGCAGGAGTGGGATAGTGGCAAGAGTGGGATAGTGGCAGGAGTGGGATAGGATACAATTCAGCATAGTCTCTAGCTGTTCTACATCCTTTAAAGCACAAGTCCACTCCACTGAAAAGTTGAGCTGATTAGATAGATAACAATTTTAAAAGCCCACATATAACTTGGTTTTGGAAAATGGTGCTCTTATTTTTAATAATTTTGTTTAATGAGTAAAAAACAAGTAAATGATTGAGCCGGTTCTCCCCACAATGTATTTTTTGTGACATAGGGTCCTCACAGCACAGATTCATAATGTAACCAAATTTAATGCATACATCTTTGTGCAGTGCTTCGGTACAAACTATTTCATTCACCTGATAAGAATAAGAGTATTTCCACAGTCAGAATGCAAACTGCATATATTTAGTGTTGCTAGGTAGGGCAAGACATATTTTTGTCCTACCTGGCAACGACTAATGTTGCGTTTCGGTTCTATTGTCTATTGAAATACTATTATTGTTATGAGGTGAATGAAATAGTTTGTATCGAGGCACTTCACAAAGACGTATGCATTAAATTTGGTTACATTACAAAAATAGCCTATTGTCAGAATGTATACTGCTGGCACTTTCGTTGTGAGGAGCATACGTCACATCCGTGCAGCAATTTAAATGTTTTGCTTGAAATAACCAAAACAAAAATTGCTTTTAAAAATCACCTGATTGAAGTTCGCCCATGGTAGTTGGCAGTTGTAATCTTTGATTTATTTACAACATGCTATAATTTTTGAAAATTGGAGTGTACTTGGGCTTTAATATTTGAGATCCTCAGACCAGCCATGTACATGTACATAAATTCATCACTGGATCATAGTGATGCAGGGTATGCTCTGTCGTCTATTTCAGTAATGACTCAAGTTTATCTGTGTCTATATGTTGTCTGAATCTAAACCATATCAACATCTTAACCCCCCCCCCCCCAACCACAAATCGCTGTTTTGATAGAATTATTATTTGGCATGAAACTTCCATGGAGTTTGACCAGCTCCAAAATATGCCTAGTTTCTGTTAAAGTTTGCAGTAATGTATCTGTGGAAGCGCAATATACATTTGTAGATATCTCATAATGTTTAATGTATTGGTCATAGGATCTTAGAGATCACAGGGTCCTGTATATTTGTACAACATTTTTATATTGCAAATGATTGCATAATATTAGACTGTATACGTTCAAAGTTTAATGTATATAAATAAGGCTCATTTGTTATGTTGACACTTGACAGGCACAGACTGAGCACTTTATATTTTTAGACTTTGTATTATTTCACCATATCTTGCTAACATTGTCCGTACTTAATTTGAATCACTGCTGTCTTAGAATTACAGTCAACTCTGCATAACTCAAGTCTGTTGGGAACGCAAAAAATAGTTTGACATTTGCAAAATCCTCTTAGGAACTGAAAATAACGCATGTTTTGGTCAAAAAAATTGATTTGGCCTTCAGAAAATTTAACTTGTGCGACTTTGAATAATGCAGAGTTAATTGTATATGCAGGGATTGTAGAAAATAAAAAGTTTCGTTTATTTACTTGACAGTTTTATATAACATGATAATTAAGCTTGACTTGAACAATTTGACTATATGTACACTATGTAACTCATTCTTTTCTTGCCTATGTATTTGATAGATCTGTAATACTACTACTAATAATAATATGTCTTGTTTACCCAGGGTAGCCTCATCAGTATTCATACTGTTCTCTCTAAGGGCCCTGCAATCATATCATTACCCCGGCTTTAACCGAGCTACCATGAAAAGGTGCTCAGGCATTCAAGGAATTTCCTCCTGCCGAGTACCCATTTACCTCACCTGGGTGGGGTATGGCAAATGTAGATTAATGTCTTGCCAAAGGACATATGTAGTCATAAGCGCACGTGATATTCAGTTTTACTTAAATGTTACTAATTGAAAATTCCAAATGTTGGCAGCTATGTGTAGATAAGATCGATAAGTTTTTTTAGATATAAAACATTTATACGCCTAGCCTTGCAATATTTCATTGTGCAATTTAACAGCAAACGAAGGAAGGTATGTTTAAATAATACTTTGAAATATATATTTTACAATTTACTGAAAAATGCTGAAAATTGGTGCTTGATAAGGTAAAGTTTTTTCAGGTGCAAAGAGACACGTTTGCAAAGGTTGTAATAATAAAAATGAATACGTCAAATATATTTTCAAATTATGGAGTTGATACTCTTATGTGTAAAAAGTTCATATGGGAAGTAATTCAATGATCATTCTTCTCGTTGAGGAGGGTAGTAGATGCATTATATTTTAAGAAAAAGAATCTGCACCAAAGATTTCATTTGATGATTTATTCAAGTCACCTTTAATACACACTGCTAGGGCGACATTTGTACCCATTGTAGTATTTTGCTTCAACTTGAATATATTTGTGAACTGATTTGTTACAAATATGTAAACCTTGGTTTTTTATAAAAGATATATATAAAGATATTAAAAGTTAGAGTATGTGAATTCCAGTTTTCTTTACCTTGTGAATTAGAAGTTTGTGAACTTCATCATCATTTGAACATTTACACCTCTGAATTCAAAATCTGTATTGAAGTTGTGATATGTATGTATGTACACACTAGATTTAAAGATTAAAATCCTTTATATATTTGTGATATCCTGTGAAATCATATTCAAAATGTTATAAAGATAGTTATTTATTTTCATGATGCTGTTCATTATCATGTCCATTGAAGCAACAGATATTCTCCATAAATAACATTGTCACTAATTGTAATAACTGTGTTTTCCGAAGGCTGCTTGTATATACATTCTCTATGTATAGAAGATCAACGGTTGTAAAATAATTTTCTTTTTGTAATGTACACCTTACTTCATATTCTACCAATTCTAATTATTATTTTTTCTTTGTATCAAACAAAAATGTGCTCTCATAATTACAATTCTGAATCAGCAAATTTCCAAACGACTCCCTACCTCAAAGAGAAGGTCTGGGGCCTGTTTCACAGAACTTGTCATCAGTGACAAATGACAGTTTTCGTTATAAGCTAGTGAAATCCTTGCTTCTGATTGGTTATCAGCAGATTTGTGACTGATTTGTGTAATTTGTCATCGTAAAAAGGCTCTGTGAAACGGGTCCCTGATGTTATTAGTTGCTAACAAATGCTTATTTCATAAACCTAACGATCATAGTGTGTGTGATGTAGAATTTGAATAAAATTGTGAACACCGAATCTTGAAGGAATCAGTGTGTGGAATTTTGTATTGATGTTGCTTCAGGATGTTTTGTTCTTTCCATTTTTTCTTTCAAAAATCTCAGTAGGTCATGCAATGTGATGAAACATCAACTTTAATTTGAATAAACTACAACAAAAGTGTACCAATAACCAGAAAAAAATAATGGTCAATCATACAGTTGTTTGCAAACATATGACAGGAAATAAGACAAATAATGATGTCGCCCTTCTCGATCTCAACGGATGATATAAAGGAACAGCTACAGACTGCAACGTTTATAAATGAAATAAAAGTGAAAATGAAATAAAATAATTCCAATATAACTGTTGTAGGTCAATCATACAGCTGTTTGCAAACATATGACAGGAAATACACAAATTACGATGGATGTGGCTCTTTTTAAGGTTAATGGGCCTTTTTTGTTGGGAGGGGGTGGGGGGGGGGGGGACAGACCAAGTTCAACCTGGGGATGTTTTACAAAGACTAAGATTGACTTTAACTTGGACTTAATATTGGCAGGCTGTCCATACCACTGTTTGCTCTCACCATTTACTGTTATTGGTCTCTAAATTGACGTACAAATCATGGAAACAATTTATGCGCAAATCTAGTGAATTTATATTTTTTGATAATTCATTATTGAAGGAAAAAATATTATCTAAAGATCATAAGTGGGAGAGCAACTAGTGGCATGAGTAGCCTGCCATCGTTAAGTCCAACCTAAGTTGATCTTGGTCTTTGTGAAACACCCCCCTGGCCTAGCTCTTTTTTAAATGTGTACTTTTTTACATTCTGGTCTATAAATTCCAAATAATTTTCTCCAAATCACGAGAGAATGCTCATCATAATCATAATAATATGATATCTTTACAGACACACAGAAGTGTTTTTTGTGTGGATGGTATCAAATCAGTGTATTTGCAAGTTGTATAATGTGTTTAAGAAATCCGAAATAAACTTGATGGGATATTCTTCTCCTTTCTGTCTTATACTTCTTTAATTTCTTCAAATCCCTCACTCCCTCTCCCTTCCATCTCTTGCACATTGTGAATGTGACCTCGAACGAAGACGATTGTTTTTACTTCCAGAACACTCTGAGCAAATCAAAACTGAAACAGCCCGAGTGCAATTAATATCAAATGTCTCTATCTTTAATCTACAACATGACATTTCTTTTTCTTCTAAATGACTCTTTTCAATAACAACATATTTAGAAATATAAAATGGAAAGTACCCAGCCTCTCTCTAAGATTAAGTAATTAAGATTTAGGGTATTTGCACTGAGAGTAAGGCAGGAAATGAATTCTCCAATGCACAGATTTTTACAACTTTTACAACAAACAAGACAGCATTTGTGCAAGGAAAGACTGGCCACTGAGTTCGGTCCAAAATCCAGGAAAGATATATATCTGTTTTATTCTAGATGAAAACCATATGTAAGTTGAGATATGCAATTTTTTATGCTACTTATTTGCAGAAAGTATAACAAAATTGAAACTGCGACTCTATATGTTTTTTTTTACACAGAATATTTTGGCACATCATTCTAAACTATAAACAAAGGCACTGACTTGGAACTTATCTGTGTTTGTATTAATCATATATTAATCATAAAGAAAATAACTACGTCAAATCAGGCGAGTTAAGTGTATGTTTTGTTGCGGAAGCTACTACAGAGATATGTTTGATATTTTTCTTCCTTTCAACTTTCACTCTGGCCCTCCCCTCCTTCCTTTTGCTTTGCCAATTTCTGGCTGCCTCTCACTTTCTTTACTTCTTCATATATCCCCCCCCCCTCTCTCTCTCTCTCTCTCTCTGTCTATCTCTCTGTCTCTCTCAACCTCCCTCCCTCACTCCCTTCTTCCTTATATTTATTTCACACTCTCTATCCTTTTATCTCACCCCATTCCCTCTCCACCACCCTCCCCAGGCCCTTACATTTATTTTATTCTTCTCTATCATGTTATCTCTCCCCTCTCTCCCTCTGTCTGTGTCTCTTCTCTCTCTCTCTCTCTCTCTCTCTCTCTCTCTCTCTCTCTCTCTCTCTCTCTCTCTCTCTCTCTCAACCTCCCTCTCTCCCTTTAACCCTTATATTTATTTCTCAACCTCTATCCTTTTATCTCTCCCCTCTAATTCCTCCCTTCCCTGGCTCTTACCTTTTTCTCACTCTCTATTACCTTCCCCCCCCCCCTCTCTCTCTCAAACTCTGCATTTCACTTCCACTCTCTTTCATAATATACATGTATATATTATTTCCCTTTTTCTCTTTCTTTCACTTTCCCCTCCCCTCCATTATTTTGTCTCTCTGTCTCTGTCTGCCTCTCTCTCTCCCTCTCTCTCCCTGTGACATGTGACGTTGTGAAGGCTGATCTCTAACTAAATTGCGTGTCAGTTGTTGTAAAGTGTCTTGCTGCTTTTTCTTTCCCTTTCCATATCGCTCAGCACTTACGATACTCGATAGTTATATACAGTACAGCAATCTCTCTCCCAGTCTACATATCATGGTAAGTAACCTGTGTATATATTTTTATTAAGAAATTTTCAGTAAAACTAGCTTGGAATCGACACAATGGGTTATTAAAAGAGAAGCTGTATGCAATGCTACTGCATGATTTTGCACATATTCATACTCGATTAGTACAATGCTCATGTGCTGTCATATCTTGTGAATATGTCACTTTTGTCCCTCTTTCTCAAAATCATCATTCATGTGTTAACTTACAATTGGGATCAAGAGTTGGTGAGAGAATATTTTGGCACCAACCAGTAATTGGTCAATCAGCATATGCCAGTTGCAGTAAAGAATATACATGTCTTTGCCAAGAATTATAACTTATAGATTACTTGTCTGCTAAAAGATGTGTACTTTTGATATGATCATGTGTGATATCGTGCTTTTCATAAAAGATATTAAAAAAAACAGTCAAAATGTTTATATATATATATAATATATGTGCATATACTTATATATAAGGTATGTTATCCTGTGTCGGAGAAACAATTGTTGTTTGTTTTAATTTCATGTCTTTTCCTATTTCCATTAATAGTTTATTACAGAAGAGAATTAAATGTTTGAGCACGAGACACTTTCTTTCAACTGTCTTATACTCAAACATATGTTGAATAGTTGCTGAATATCATCAGACGCTCATTTTGTAATAGTCTCCACTACTCTGCCTTTACTTTAATTTAGGGATGAAAAGCTTGAGAGGGCGAGGTTTAGTGAAATGACAGCTGGACAAATTCGACAAATTAATGAATGAGTTGTATCTCACATTTAATAAACCATTTTCCAAATCAGTAAACAGTCCTTGTGTCATATGGCTATGTAAGAGGCAAATTAGTTTAGTATTCATTGACAATCTTATTCTCAATCTAAATACATTTGATTACATTAATGATGTTAAAAATGGATATCCATGAAATTAAAGTCAAAGGCAGGCATAGACAGCTACTAAATAGCAAACCTGACGCTCTGTGTAGGATTTTTCCCCGTCCAAAATGAAGTTTAACAAAGGAAATTACATTATTTTAGACCCAGGGTTGGGTTTAATCTACGTCCGGAAAAAAGGGGGTTTAGGGTCACCCGAATAATTTCTAAATTTATCTGATTACTGTAGATAAAGAATCACCCAATCCACTATTCTGAAAATTGGCAATGTTTTTTATTTTACTTTTAAAGTGGATTAATGAGCGAATAAGACGTGAAAATGATTCACAACATGTGTCTACCCAATTAGCTTTTGCTTCCTCTATTGTTAATCCTGTCAAATTGTATACTGTTTAATGTATTTTCAAGTATGAGACATGTTGCAGTTGTTCATATTGTCATTACTTTTGTCATTGATGTATATACTGTGGCCTTTAATAATTCCTCTGGCAAAGTATGAGGTTGCAACAAGTATAAACACTAGAAAAACTGTTATTCCAACAGTAGATTACGTGGCGCATGTAGCGTTTGCAGTGCAACACACGTCCTGAAGTTCAGGCTTTATGTTTCCTTGTGGTTAAAATGACTATGCATCAGAGACGAAGTTGTGCTCTATAAGCTTTGAAAATGACTAATTGACAGCATGCCTTAATCATCCTTTTCAACTTTGAATGACAGGTACCGGCTCTTCAGAAATGGATCTGCAGTCTGCCGAGGATTATCAATTTAGAATGAAGGAGTATTTCCATTTTATTGACTGAAACAGGCTCTTGTGCCTTTGTGAACCATGAAGGAGACCTTTGTGGAGAGTCAGCATGGCTCTTCCTAAAATATATTTGGATGTACCTCGACCAACAGAAAGTTCCACAATGATTGGGATAGTTGACCCTACTACAGTATCGAACTTCACTTCACATTTTGAACGGCAGCCAACTGCTTGGTGGGACATCATCTTAGTAACCCTCTGGATTATCATCGTGGTGATAGGTGTCGTCGGCAACAGCCTGGTTTTCCTGGCCATTGCAGTGTCCAGGAGTTTACAAACGAGGAGCAACATCCTTGTGGTCAATGTTCTTGTTGCGGACATTGTGGTGTGTTGCCTCTTGCCTCTTCAGTCAGCAACGCTCCTGCTTGCAGATGCCCCGGACGGTGAAGGTGCACTGCCCACCAAGGTTTGTGCAGGAGTTGCCACACTTGCCACTATGTGCCTCTGGAGCAGGATGGCAACTTTTGGAGTTCTGTCTCACCAGCAATGGAAGCAGCAAACAAAGTCTAGATCTTTGTGGGCCAGCATCCACAAACGAAAAAGACCACTAATAGTCGCTTCACTGACGTGGTTGTGTCCTCTTGTGGCAATTCTTGTTCCACGTTTTGCAACAGAATGCATCCATCTAGGATACTCGAACGAAACAAAGCTTTGTGTTTTTGACGGTTGCGATGACGGTTGCGATGAGAGCCAGTTAATCTTCAGGATTGTCACTCCTCTGCTCTGGCTACTGACAGTACTATTTACATTGAGGAATTACTCTAAAATCCACATTCATGAGATAAATCGTCGAAAGCATAAATACGTGCCC